CCCTAGCCTAGTGATGCCCCGTAGAGTGTCAAGGATATGTAGAAGGAAGCGCTAACAAAGGCGATTACGTTTAACCGCAATTAAGAGGTGTGAAGTTGCATTTGAACGTTTCAATGGCTCTTCCTCGGCAATCGAGTAATTTTACCTGAGAGATTCCTTCTTTGTTATCGGCAAAGTGATCAGATAAAACTGTGTCGAGAGCAAGTGTCCGTCACTTGTGTTAATACGAGTTTTTTGACGGGTAACGCTGCAGGATTATTTTGCACAACACTTGGTAATCGTCAGATCAACGGAAAAATCCAGTGATTACTTCAGAGCAGTCTCTCAAAAAGCCAGCTAAGATAAAGGGGAGACGCTCAGCTGCACAAGATTCAGCGGTAAAAGTGGCTGAGCGAAGGCTTTTGAATAAATATTTTATTTTTACACACATGACACTTAGACCCTATTTGCTTTTTACCTGCTAGTCTTGACTATTTTCGGGGTCTTTTTGTGATTTTCATTTTTGGATACATTTTGAACTCTTTCTTGATCAGTGATTTTGAAATTGTTTTTCTCCAAACATCGCAAAATGCAAAGCCGCTAACATGCTTTTTTATTTTTATTGTTTTAATCATGCTGTCAACCCTTGCTTGGATTTCTCTCGTTTGGCCATTCACATCACAATTTTTCGCGTGTCTCTCAAGCTCCATGATATCATATCTTGGAGAATAAAATTTTATTTTGTCAACATTAGATTTACCTTTTGCAAACGGCGACCAACAATCATTTCAGGTTTCGTAACGTGTCGCAGATACGCTCGCCTATATATATCGCAAAAATTAAGAGCTGGGCTAAAAGTATCCTTTTTAGCGTTTTTTTAAATTTATTTATCGATTTTTCTTTCATTTGTCAATTAATTTAGGCGATTCGATTAACTCTTTCACCCATTTATTAGGTATACAGAAATCAGTTATCCGACTGAACAAGTAGGGCCGGTTTTCCCCAACCGCCACGCATAGGCCCTACTCTCTTTCAAAATTTTCTTTCTTTCCTCTGGAAATGGACTTTTAACACGAACGTTTCTCTTCCCCATAGTGTACTAGCTAGACTTCTTCGCTGCTAAGCTGATGTAAGACTTATGACCTATTACCGCACACGTAATCAGCTTATAACTCATTAACTGTGCTCCGACCCCCTCATGGCAACGGCCCTTAGTAATAGAGGCGTGGTTTAGTTGTCAGCCTGACTGGGGCGCATGTCGGTTGAAAAACTCATCAAAAGACACATTTTGCGATGCAAATTCATAAAAATTATTACATCCAACGTTAGATACTTTTTTGATTAATATAAACACAAAAAAAAAAACTCAAAAACATGATTTTAAGCGTATTTAACCCTATCACCGGCCTTAACTAAGTGAAAAAACAGGAAGGAAACTTGTAGATATTTGGTGAAATGGAGTAATAGGGATGCATGCTAGGACCTCTTAAAGCGTACAGCTGTATCATTGTTTGATATGAAAAGGTCTTATGTGGCACATCTTGTCAAATGATGAATATGTTAAAAGGCAGGAAAAACAAAAGGGATCATAGGGATTATAGCTGCTGTCTTTGGTGAGCTACAGTAAATAGGACAGCCTATTGAGACAGTTGCACTGAGAAGAGTTGACCAATCAGCAATTTTAATGTGACTGCAGTTTCTACACTTGAAAGTGTCAGCAGCATGCCTAAAAACAGTCTGGTTCACATATAACAGCCACAAATATAAGCTAGTTCAACACTGCATGCTCTCCTGTTATTTACCTTCTTCCAAAGTGAGTGCTTTAAATCAAAATAGGTTGAGATTAAATATTGTGACTATATGCACTTTCAGTCATAACATTATGATGAAGACCAAATATTCTGTAACACAAGCTTATATCAGACAAAACTATGGATGCCAATAGACTAAATAAATTAAAATAACAAACAAAACTCAATTAAGAATACAGGACCAACCAGGAATAGGGAATGGAAATTAAATGTTAGAAAAAAAGGAGGAGCACCCCTCCCTCTCCCATCAATATTGCCACCTCCCCAGTTTCTAAACTCTTTGGGTTCGTTCATATGAAAAATCTATTTTCTAAAAATCTAAAAATCTATTGGCGTTATATTGTGATCATGGTCTGTGCCCTGAATACCCCATGGCGTAATTACTGGCAGCACGAGCCAGTTACTTCCAAAGCTGTAATTAATTCTCGGCTGCGTTTGGAGGAGATTCTGACACCTTGACGCATGCACAGAAGTATCTTTCAGCTGTGGAGTTCATCAGTTTAGTTGTGACAACTCAAGCATACAGACGCGTAATATGGCTAGTGGTAGTGCTTGTTGTTGCACAAAATCGACAAGCACATTTTTCACAACAACTGCGACCGCCATTTACTTTCTAACTTCCTACTGCGCATGCGTCAAGGTATGAGAATCTCCTCCGAGCGCAGCCGAGAATTTATTACAGCTTTGGAAGTAACTCGCTCGTGCTGCCAGTAATTACGCCGTGGGGTACTCAGGGCACAGACCGTGATCACAAGATACCACCAATAGATTTTTAGATTTTTAGAAAATAGATTTTCCATGTGAACGAACCCTTTGTTTCCTGAATATATATGATCATCATTTAAAAACTTGTTTTTTTTTCTATTGTTGCCAAAAATTCTAAACACGGTAATGATAATAAAACTTAAAAGTAAAAATAGCAAAAATAATTAAAGTATGGTTGAGAGTCCCATTTTGCATAATCAGTCAAATGTAGCAGTCACCAACCCAACAGAAAGACACCTCAGTAAAGACTGTGTTGCTGTGATGACCTGCTCCTGCACAGGAAAACAACTAGTCACTACAATGACCAGATGACAACAAAGCATCATCCATTTTACCTGTGTGAATGCCCCTCATCAGATTTAAATATAATATAATCTAATTTAATATAATATAATTTATATAATACAAGTAAAGCTAAATAAAAATCAGATTACAGTGTATATATTATATATTAACCTTGGTCATCTGCACTTGAAGTTAAAATTTGTACGGAGTCCACCTTGCTCAGCTCTACAGGCTCATGTTTTCCGTGTTCTCCCTCAAACTGCAGTGTCCTGTGGAAAAAAATAGTTTACTGAGTAAGGAAACATAGACTGGGTTTCCATCCCTAGATCGATCTAACAGGATTGGTCCATCTCCACGGGGTCCCCCGCCAAATTGCTTTTAGCCCAAGCGGCTTAGACGTCTGGGACACCCACCAAAGCTGCTAAACGATAGTTAATTACCCCCTGTCAGCTTTAGCAGGTGTGACAGACAACCAAGGCACCCAATTTAATTGCAATTAAGTGAGAATCCCCTCGGAATTAGTTCGATCCAAAGTTGGTACGATAGTCAAAGGTAAAGATCCATATCATCCAGATAATGCATAACTAATATTGCCATATTAATATTGAGCAGAACCAAGTGGGATAATATGCTGACTGAATAATTACCAATAATTAATTTAAAATATCTTAAGTGAATACAAATAAAATAAAGGAATAGAAATAAAAAATATCAAAATCCACAATATTAAAAAATTATCAACCCCCCCTCATCCCGCCCCTCTCTCTCCTTCTCTCTCTCCCTTATATTCACCTGACCTTTATCTACAACTGTGCTTCAATACTAAAACATTCCACAAGCAAAACATAATATCAGCAGCAGCTGTACATAGTTTGCGAGCCAATTCAAATTTGTTTTTGCAGAACTGTTTCTTATTCTGAAAGTGTTAATTTTTTAAAAGATATATACACATTTTTCAATGAATAAAAATCTTATACATATCACAAAATTATTATTGGCTAGTTATGACTGCATTTCTTTTCTTTCTTATTCTAATTTTCATTTTTAAGAAAAAGAATCTTCCAGGATAATACCTTTGGTCCTGTGATATCTTGCAGAAAAATAATTCTTCATTATTTTCTTCAATTGTTGATCCACTGAGAAAAAAATCAGCACCTAAAAATTTAAAGCCAAAGGTTGTAATGCTGACCAATGATTTCATATGTATGTCTAGTAAAGGATTATCTTTCCGAGAGAAGCAATCTGAGATGATCAACTTACTAATGGTTTGGAATCTGAATTGGTGTAACCATATTTTTTTCCTTTTTCTGTTTTTGTCAATCCATAAATTAATAAATAACAAAGAAACAGTCTAATTATGTAATGAAAAATGTATCTCCATCAAATTAACAACATATAACAAACATAAAATAAATCTTTCAGACCAGGACCATAATTAATACTTCTATCTACAAAATAACACTACTACCCCCTGCTTCAGGTTTGCTCCTTCATTTTCAAATCTCCCTATGTGCATGCATTTTGGACTCTTTACAGTCAGCAGCAAGTTTAATCAAAGTTTACCCCACTAGTCTCAAACACACAACCAGGTTTGGTGGTTTTGTAGAAAGGCATGTAATGAAGTTAACAGACTTCCAACATTTGTGATGAGTGCGGTAAACTTGAAGCATACGTTGCTGAAGATCAGTTGCCGTGAGCAGCCACAAGTGGGAATTTGAAAAGGAAAGTTGGTTCACATTGCTTCTGAAATTCAGGCTACCCATAACATACATGAAAAAAAAAAGGTTGATATCAAGCAGATGCGAAAATTAATATAAAAAAATACTTACCATTAGTTAAAGTTTTTAAATGTTTGTCAAAGAACTCATTTTCCTTTCGTGTAACTGCTGCACATGTGTCACAAACACGTACTGGGTCAACAAAACACATGCGTGGCAGAGCAATCTTGATGGTACAACATTTGTCACAGAAGCATTTGCCACACCTCCGACAGTGATGCTGAAAATAAGTAATACACAAATTAATGAATTAGACTTTTTTTTTTTTACAAGTAACTATTAAGGGTGTTATGTAAGCAATCTTTCTCTGGTGCAGTATGCTTGTTAAAAAATCCCACAGTTACCAATACATGTAAAATTCCTCCAGAACAGCTGAAAATCAGCATTGTACCCTTTCTACAGAAGTAACATAAAGGGGAGTGGAGGGTGCTGACTAACTGCACTCTTTGGTTGAGGTTTCTATAACACTTATAGCCTAATTTCCTGATGAAGATGTCTTGTTAGACATTTTAATATTGGACCAGTTGATAATATTTTTAGCTGCTGTTGGAAATACTTATTTTTATAACACAGACTTTAACCAAATCTAACACTTATCACTTATTGCTCAGTTTTTGAAATTCAAGACCTGTACAAAATTTCATTTTTCCGACATATAATTCAGAATACAATAAAAAAGACAAATTATATTGGCAACACATATTGTGAGACATTGCACACCAAGCCATGAGGATACACCTACCCTTCTTTTCATAAAATCAAATCTTGCGGAACACTTCATACACTCGTGGCACTGTGAAGAAAGTAAACAAAAGTCTTAGACATTAATAAAAATTAAAAATAAAGAAGTAAAGGTATGTGCTTGTGTGAAAAATACGGATAAGACATTTCTCTTGTTCTAAATCTTAATCTTGGACTTATTAAACATCAGTCAAGATTTAAAGTCAAAAATACATTATAAATTTCGGTACCACTTTTTTCACATTGCGTAAAGCAAGTGAAAAGTTACATGCATTCCCTACCTTTTCATTTTGTGTAAAAAGACAATGTAAGAGCAATGATATTTACTGATTTTTTTAAAAATAATTCCATGCCATTTAGACAAACATTATCTATAAATATTTAACACAAACACAGTCGACAGGAAAAAACAGGAAAACCTTTAATGTGGTAATTGTATATTAATAATTGTGAACTATTGTGATTATCATCTCTACCCTACTTAAAAATAATAACCATTAAAAAATCCATCAAGCCCGATCCCATCCATACTACATATTAAAAAAAGAAATGTCAATCTTTTCTCCACATTACTATATATAGCAGCTGAGGAACACCTTCTCATCATCATAATTCAAAGGTCACAGAATGACGTTATTCTCTTCAATGTCAGGGTACACCTGATCAGGGTTCAGTTTACCCCCTACACAGCTACCAGAATTTACAGACTTTGAGGTGAGTTTTTCTCCCATTGCAATATATAAATGCTTATAGATTCAATTAAAGGGGATTTCCATGGAATTCACTTTTAATTAGACCTAAAATTACTATGCAGATACCGTCTACTCTTTCCTATGGTGATTCCACATTGCACCACTTTGATGCATGACTCCAGGTATTTGCATATTATTGAAGGGCATGATAGAAAATTTCAAGGTTAGCATCTGCTTTATCAATAAATGAATCCAGTATATTTTTTATTCAGAACGTATACTTCAATAAATGGCTGAGTAGTGAATCAATTGAGTTAAGGTCCTTTCAAGGACAAAGCGTTCTGCAGATGCCTGGTTCTAACCAGACAAAATTAGGACAGTCGTAACCACAAACAAAACTAGGAAATAATTTAATGGTAAAAGGGTTTCAAAAGGAAAAAAATCTTTGTGAGACATCCATGTATAATATCCAATTGTTCTAATGGCAAACAATACAAAAAAAACAAAAACAAAACACTACAGTCTTCACCATCAATAGTGTACAGCTGATCTGTTACTAATACCCCTCTTCCAGATCCTTTATAGACCTACCAGTACTTAATACTATACTGTCCATTCAAACTCACTCTTAACCAGCTCAATACTTTATTCTTCATGTATATCTCTCATGATATTTACAACTCAAAGTTTTCCTTAGTGGGTCTTCTCTCTGCTACAACTCTACTAGTACTTTATTTTTACCCTTGAAATAGCAAGTACATTTTCTTCTAGTAAGTAATGTTATAATTTCTCTTTCCTAGTCAGGCTAGGATAGCATATAAAATTGTACAACTGCCAAAGGGTTTAAGTCTATGAAGAAATTTTTGCAAGAATTCATTAATTCATCAATCGTTATCAAATCATTCTCATCCATTTTTTTTTTTCTATCAATAGATGGCATCCAAACCACAGCAACAGGCCAAGAAACTTGGCTTTGTAGAAGTTTTTGCCCTCAGTGGTGCTGCCGCAGTTATATCCAAGACTGCAGCTGCCCCCATTGAGCGTATCAAGCTGGTCGTGCAGAACCAATCAGAAATGGTGAAAGCAGGGACACTGGAGAGACCATTTAAAGGAATTATAGACTGTACCACCTGGATTTACAAGAATGAAGGTAGATATCACAGGCATAATGATGTAAATTACTCTCATCATTTGTTTGGGTAAAAGGCCCATTTGGGCATATTATATTGCAGTGTAGTGGAAGTAAAAGAAGCATCAATATTAATAAAATTGAATGAGAGAGAGAGAGATGATATCTGAAAAGATGTGTTGTGTTGAAATAAGACTGCACTATTCATTTTGGTTGAAGACACTTGGCAAAGGAAGAAGTAGGGCAATGATTTCAAAACATATTATTATATCACTATTTGCTTGGATTATTACACATAGTCAAGTACCTTGTATAACACTTGACTTTTTTATATCATTCTAGGCTTGATATACTTCTGGAGAGGCAACATCCCCAACTGCATTCGATATTTCCCAACACAGGCCCTCAACTTTGCCTTCAGAGATAAAATCAAAAAAATTTTTGCATCTGCGCCAAATGAGCCTTATCCTGTAACATTTAGTAAAAACATAGCATCTGGTGGTGTAGCTGGTGCACTGTCCTTGATGTTCGTCTACTCATTAGATTACTGCCGAACCCGTCTAGCCAATGACATGAAGTCTGCCAAGAAAGGCTCAGAGCGCCAGTTCACAGGAATGTTTGATGTCTACTCCAAAACCTGGAAGGCAGATGGCATCAAGGGTCTGTACCGTGGCTTTGTTGTATCCTGTGTGGGAATCATAGTCTACAGAGGCTGCTACTTTGGGTTCTACGATAGCCTGAAACCAGTCTTGCTCGGTCACGATGCTGGAGTCGCCACTTCCTTTCTTCTGGGTTATGCTGTTACAGTCACATCTGGATTAATATCTTACCCCATTGACACCATAAGGCGACGTATGATGATGACCTCTGGTGGTGGGGTGCACTACAGTGGTTCCATCGACTGTGCCATCCAGATCTTCAAGCATGAGGGGGCCATGTCTTTCATGAAAGGCGCTGGAGCCAACATCCTAAGAGGTGTGGCAGGGGCAGGTGTACTAGCAGGATTTGATAAATTCAAGGCTGTCTATGTTGCCTGGCGTCTGAAGTCTGCATAACTGAATGAGTGTACTGTAAATGTGTTCAGTATTTTGGGTTGCTTCAAAGACTGTTAATACTCAGACACTGCAGAAGACTTTTAACAGAAGTGTTTTAATGTTAATTTGGAGATAAAAGACTAGTGATGATATTCTGAGTAAATCAAACAAAATGCATCATATCTGCATTGAATTTAATGTGAAATAAAATACAATACTAGTAATCTTGTTCAGAATAGAACTCAAAGTATCAAACAAGTATTCTGTGGATAATTCTTTTCAGCATTTTCACTAAATAGCATTCATTTTGCAAAGCATACGTCACTAAATACATGTATTAAAGAAACATAAAGTATGTTTTATTTTAAAGTGTCCTGATTGTTGAATTCACTGACAACTTAACAAATAAATAGTTATTTGTAAAAAGTGACTTTGCATTACTTAGCCCCCCCCCCCCCCCCCCATTCCATGCCTAGTAAATGTAAAAAAATGAAATGGGGAAACTGGAAAGAGATAGAGTTTATATGGCAACTCTTTACCAAATACACACCAAAGTAATATTAGGCACATCTATATTTCATCTTGGCCTGCATGATCTCAAACATAATCTGAAAGATTGTTTGGGATATGGCAACAATACAATGTCATTATATCTGATCTACTAGTACTTCTCACATTCAAAAATCAGTTTATGGTACTTTTCAACTGGTGTATGGTTTCATGGCAGCATAAATGGTAGATGACCAAATGATTATTTCCTTATTCACACATCAACATCAAAATTGGATGGTTTTTCAGCAGTATAACTACATGTATAAGACATGAGGTGTTAGGTAAACCCTCCCCACCCCCCCACCCCCATCAGAACTGCCACACTACCTGAAATTTTATGCTATATCACAATTATCTGGTCAACATCTTATGTGCATTGGCACATATACTAGATATGTAAAAAAAAAAAAAAAATTAAGTGTTAACACATTAATATTCATGCTATGTCTGCATCAAGACTTGCTATTTGCAATATGAACTACAATGTCTACAGGGTCTCCAATAGTACATGTATATGTGGCAAAACCCTGGAGTTTTACAAACATTTGAAAAGTGATGGGGAGACGTAAGGCGAAATGTTATATGGTGAGAGGTATGGATTATGACTATTATTGTCTAATTTTTACTGTAGTCCATCGGCATCAACAAACTTTTTTCTCTCGACAAATGCTCAACAGCTTAGCAATGCACTTTTTAAGAATTAGAAGCAGGTATATGTTCAACTTTATCCAACAAACACAAAGACATTATTAGGAGCTTTGAAAAATACCATGTCCAAACTTTACAACAAGAGTCTCTATAACTACTTAATGTAGGTGCTAGTGTGAAAAAAATGTATTAGTTCAAGTACTGGTAGTTGTAGTTTCAGATTCAGATTGCTTTCTTCTGTATCTCTCTGGTGAGCCCTCCATATTTAAGAGGTTGTCATTATATATATATATATATATATATATATATATATATATATATATATATATATATTTCATCCATTAGCTCTTATAGTACATATCAGAAAATATATTACATTTTAGTAGTTGATTAGTTAGAATGGGACTAAAATATACATTTAATCAACATTTGCACAGCATCTGGATTCCTTTTAAAACATGATGATGATCTTTGTNTCTAAAATTATGGGCTCTATCGCCGGACAAAAACAATGACCACAATGCAACTCGCGAATGAGCAGACCAATAGACTTGCAAAAGTTTTTTAAGCAAGTAATAAGTGGCATTAGTCTTTTGCAAGTTCAAGAGTTGTACTTGTAGTAGCTTATTTTCTGCAGCAACAACTTCAAAGTTCAAGATACATAACATCGAAAAAACAAATCGTAATATACTAATGAAAAGTCCATACCTCTTTGTCTGGAACCCATGGAGGTTCATACAGCTCAAAAGGACTGCGACCATCTTCAGAGGTTGCTACTATACGTAGTCCACTCTTCGATCGTACAAGTTTCTTATCTGCATTTGTCGCCATTTCAACACCCACATATTACAGCGACCTCTATGTGTATAGCGTTATCATGACAAGACAAACTCGTTGCGAAAAATATAGGAATAAAAAAAAATTACGAGTTTTTGATGCAAAAATAAATTTGTGAAAACTTTAAGTTAGAAAAAAGCATTGACGTTTTACGAGTATAGCTAATTCAATCACTTTCAAGTTGATTTGACGGACACTGTTGTTAACGTCACGTGACAAAGGAAAACACGATTGACCTCCCAAATCCCATAACTGACCTTCCTGCAAGTTATTGCAGTGGCAACGTCAAGTTGCACCGAATAACCCTGGTTTCCTGCATTATCTGGCAGGCAAGAAATGGTCGTGCCATTGATACCTATTTGCATTGCAGGCGGAGGGGCTGCCGCAGTGCTTTTAATAAAGTAAGTGACTTTTCATTAGTCTTACATTAGTGCATAGAAGTCTATGATTAGTGTTAAAAACCAAAGGCAATGGAATACGGGGTTTATATTTCTTAAAGTTAAACCCTGTATTACTTCTGAGCCTGTCTGTGCCAGATTCTTGATGTTCAGATATTTTAATATCTGATTAAAATCTTGGTCATATTGCACGTTGCAAGACTGTGACCTAGCATTTAATTTTACCGCGCGAATTACAAATTAGCCCCTCAGTCATCTGGAGCTTGGAAGACCTAGCTGTTTCATGAGGTTTTCGTGTGTGGGTATGTCTAAAAATAATGTCACTGGAATTAAGCAGTATGTACGATTAAAATATTGTGTATAAATAATTATCATGTCTTGATGTACTGGTATTAATATGTACATGCTGCATGGTATTCAAAATTTACTAAGTAAATATTTTTAGATGCCATCATCATTCATGCTGAAATGAATAGCGACATGGTTTTTATGAATTATTGCATTGGAAATGTTATAAATAGCAGGTGATATTAACCATTACAGATGTTATACAGGTGGAGGCATTTGCCGAAGCACAGCAAGGCTTGATGGGAAAACAGTGGTGATCACAGGAGCAAACACAGGGATTGGAAAGGAGACTGCCATAGACTTAGCCAAAAGAGGTATTGTATGAAAAGAAATAAAGATGGAGTTTCTGTACAGCTTATGAATAGAAATGTCTCTATCAAACCGAGGCACACAGAACAAGTAATTGGTATAATACCATTATGATACACTGTATTTGACAAAGTGGATATTATTGGTGTTTTTGGTGCTTTTTTTCCTTTAAAGCCAATTAATCTCCACTTCACATGCATTCATAATTTGAAATTTAAATGTTTGAACTGTGCCTCATAATGATAATCAGTCATAAAATTAGCTTGATTTTGAAGAAAAAAGAAAATGCACATGCCTTTAACAATGCATGTACCAAGTGCAAATACTAGTAATGATATTTCATATATTGATTGTAACTGTTTGAGTAGCTTGAAAGACTTGTTTTTGGTGTTTTTTTTTTTTTTTTTTTGAAGTTGTTAAATCTGTGAATTAATTCTGATGTTAGAAAAAAATATTTTAAAAAATTGTATTTACATGTAACATTTAAAAATAGTCTTTTCTTAGCATTTCAAATTTCAACATCCTTTCACTGTAATATTGTTTTTTAAAAAAACCCAATTTTAAACAAATGAATGTTAAGTTTTTAAATTAAAATGCGTAGCCAAGTACGTATAACAACAGATTATGCTTTTGGCTTTGAATCTCAGTCTTCATTTTGACCTGAAATTACATATAGCTCTTATCACATGTGCCACAGATCTAGATAGGAAATGACACTTGACTAGGTCTGCACTGGTGAATTTATACATCCCGGGCAGCTGTCATGACCCACGTGACAAAGAAAAAAAAACAGGTGGGAAAATCTATGATATGAGTCAAATAGTGCTATGATGTAATAAGTTATCATCATCCTGTAACAATTGGTATAGACTAGTAGTTACAATTAAGATTGAACTTTTTCAGGAGCTAGGGTAATTCTTGCATGCCGGGATATGAAAAAAGGACAACAAGCTCTTGAAGAAGTAAGCAATGTTTCAGAGAGCCCTAACAGTGTGGTGCTGCATCATTTGGACCTGGCAAGCCTGAAGTCAGTAAGGAAGTGTGCTGATGAAATTTTGAAGAGTAAGAAATAGTTTAGTTGCTGTATATGTACACATATATATGGGAATTTTCAAAAAATTCAGACATTTTTAGTTGCTAAGTTTCATTAGAGAAAAATTATTGCAAAGTTGTGAAAGGTCACTTGGGTAATTTTCAGAAACTGTATTTTGTACTGAACATAAAAATTTAAATTATGGAAAAAATGTAATCCAGGAACAAGTGAGGTCTATGAAATTTATCACTTATTACCATGTTTGTATCTATTGGGGGCGGGGGAAGGGGGGGAGACATTATACCTTTATTTTCATTTCTAAACCAGCTAAACTGAATTTTTTCTCAAGTCTAAGATACCATATATATTGCAGAAAAACTACGATAATCACTCCATCTTGTCAGTGGGGAATATTGTGAATTTTACAGACTGATACCGTATGTAATGTGTTAATGTAACAATTTCTTAAAATGAGAGCATTCTAATTGAGTGGTACTAGCTACGAAATTGAAAAGCAGGCTACCCTACAGTTCTTTTCTATGCAGTAAAAGCAGTTCTTTTCTGTGCAGTACTGAGTAATTTTTATGATTTCAAAAGTATGTACATGTACCTGAAGGATTGACAATTTTGCCCATTACTGTAAACACTGTTGTGAGATTTTAGAACATTTAAATTTTAATGATTTTACTAAAATCAAGAATCTTTCTGTAATACAAAGGAGAAATTCTGAAGAGTAAGGAATTACTACTGGAGACTGCGGAGAATACATAGGTTTTAGCTCATGTGGAGCAGGCAATATTACAATCTAATAAAATTTTATTTTTTTATCCTTGTTAGTAGATATACATGAAATTTCTGATAAATTATATTAATGATTTTTTAGAAGAAGAGAAGATAGATATTTTAATCAACAATGCTGGGGTTATGATGTGTCCATACACAAAAACAGAGGACGGCTTTGAAATGCAGTTTGGTACCAACCATTTAGGTGAGTTTGATGCACTGTTGTGTTTAATTTTATACGTGCCAAATTTTCCATATAGTTCACCATATAATATAAAGAGTTTTTAGTTAGTGTGCTGCAGTGTAGTAGTGCCGTATATACCCTTTAGTCCATTCATATGAATAATTTACTTCCTGTGTTACAGATACATTATAAAATATAAATTATTTGTGCTTAGCATTAAAACTTTCCTTTAAAATTTTTATTTCATCAAGCCTGCCATTTTACTACCAATATACTCTTCCATAACAGTGTTACTGTATATGTGCTTACTTGATTTTATTTTCTAGCTAAGTCATTGTTTTCTAAGTGGCCTATTAAAGATTGCTGTTTTCCAGGACACTTTTTGTTGACCAATTTGTTGCTGGATCGAATAAAAGCAAGTGCTCCAAGTCGTATTGTTAATGTTGCATCCAGAGCACATGAAATGGGGGAAATGAACTTTGCTGATTTGATGGGAGAGAAGGGCTATAGCTCAGTTAAAGCCTATGGCCAAAGCAAACTTGCCAATATTCTATTTACACGTGAACTAGCCAGAAGATTGGAAGGTCATCACATAAAATTTTTTTACTTATTTAAATTGCACAGTTTCTTTCTTTTTCCTAGAAAAGTAATCCTTTTTTTCAATATGTCAGTATTTGAATATAAAGAGACTGTTGTCCATCGATGCATATTTTCTTCATATATTTCCTTTATGTGCTGCCAATGATGAATCAATCATCAATTGTTTGAGTTTCATTCATATTAAGTTATGTTTGTGAATATTCCACATTGAGCAAGTTTTGTCCAATTGGTTGCCACTAAACCCAACCATATGCCACCATAGTGCTTGAAATAGTGTAATTTAAAGAAATACCACAGAGCTTTGTTACACTGTATCCTGAAAAAATGATATTGGCACAGTCTGGTACAACTGATTTATATATGTTACAGGGTATTTACTCTCACTTCATATGTATCTTTAAGCTTATCTTTTTCTTGCATTTTAGGATGTGGAGTTAGTACATATGCTGTACATCCTGGTGCGGTGAAAACAGAGCTTGGCAGACACCTTTTCTTAAGCCATCCAATTTTTGAATATCTTCTCTTCCCAGTTATTTGGCTTTTGTTGAAAACCCCTAAGCAAGGGGCTCAGACATCTATTTACTGCTCTGTAGCAGAAGAGTTAGATGGCATTAGTGGAAAGTATTATTCGTAAGTCATAATCTTGAAATAATCTGAATGTATACACATTTCTCATCTGTCTGTCAACTCAAGTGTAAAATTTGCAGGAGGAATGGTATTCACTTACATGAATTCTTTTTCTAACATCTGATTTGTGTGCTTGTTGAAGGTTTAAAGATTTGTTGGGTTGAAGGTGTATTGTTCTTCAAAAGATGATAAGTTCATTCAAAATGATGCATTATATAATTATTACTTACTGCAATACTTACTGTTTGAAATTTATATTTACAGTATGCGTACATGTATATTGTATTTTATCACCAGACCAGAGCAGTATATTTGGATACAATGGATTCTCATGATTTACATAATCTTAGGCAAAAGTCTTATAAACAAAAAGTTATTTAAATGATTGACAACGAAAAAATTATTGCGTTTTCTCATTTCTTTCAGCCATTTGGATTTGACTGAATTTTTAGTTTAGTTTGCTGAAAATAAACTGATTATATATTGTGAAAAGACACCGTGAGTATTGAAACTAACTGTAAAGAATAGGGATGTTTTTATCATTTCAGGGATTGTGCTGAATTGGAGCCTTCAAGACGTGCCCAGAATGAAGATGATGCAAAGAAACTGTGGGAAATCAGTGAAAAGCTGGTGGGTTTGTAGTAGTGGACAATTATTTAGACAACAAGTGATGCAAAGATGGGGCTCAAATTATCTCTTTTTTTCACACAATCAAGGACTAATGAAATGTATTACAGCATTGTTGTTTCTTACTTTCAATTGATAAAAGGTGACTGTGGTATTTTTATTGTGGTTGTATTGGTAACATTTATCCTCCTAATCTGAAAGTATTGAAAGCATATATAATGCAAATCCTACCATTATGCAAGTAGTGATTTATGATTAATATTTTATAACATTCTTACTTTTGTTTGAAAAAAGATATTAATGTTTCAATTTCTTGTTTGAGAAAGTGTTAATGTGTTTATCTATCAGTGATGATTTTAAGAAATGATTGTGAGAATTTGTTTGAAGTATATTTATGGATCTCTTTTCGACCTAATTTTTTATATCTTAAGTGTATTTTGGCAATACCTACATCCTTTGTGAAATACCTCTATTATTCTTGTAAAAATTGAACATTTTTCTAAAACTGTGTTTTCTATACTGGTTCTTTTGTAATGACCTCGTTAACTTTTTGATAACCTTGATTTTGAAGTATAATCCTTTTTAACAGTCAAGATGTTTCCAGTATTTTTATACTTCTGTCAGACATGTTATACTCTTTTAATATCTCTATGACAAATTACCGATGTGGCCTTTTATAAGGAACTTTATTTAAATGTTTTGGCAGCCATTGCTTGTAAGACAAATTTTTGTTAGGTTTAAATTTTTGTTGTATTGTTAAAAAATTTGTTTAGACATGTTTCCATTAAATGTGTGGCTCTGAAAATTATCACTCTCAGGATAGTTAGATTGCTATTTATTTCTTGCTTTCCAAGTTTGCTTTATGTACAGTTCAACTGCAAATTAATGCATTTTGCAAATTATCTCCTCAGTTTGTTGTTGATTAAATTATTTAATATTTACAATTTTACCTTTAACTGATAATAAATAACATCTTGTGTATCACCGTAGGAAACGCTTTTTATTTTCTTGAGATTAGATTGTTCTTATAATTAATAGAATAGGAAATATAGCACAGATGCTGAGCTTACTAATAAGGTAATGGCTCGATCATTTAAGCCAGGAACAATTATCAATTTTTCAGATACATAATTATTCAAAAGACATTTCTAAGTAGCATTTACTGTATAGAATAGAGATATTAGATAGTCTGCTTTTCAATTGTGTTGCTACCACTCAGCAGGAATATTCTAATTTTAAGATTTATACTTTTAAAAAATGCAGTATCTGTAAAATTTTCCTGGTTGAAATGATTGAGCTATTACCATTATATGCCCAATTCAATGGAATGGTTTTAGTGTGCATTGAAAGGCTTTCCAAATTGGGCCATAAGTAAGTTCAGCACCTGTGCTATATTTCATGGGTATATTTGGGATAAAGAAAGCCAAGGTATAAAGAGATATCTGAATTATATACCGAATCTAACCTACCTTCAGCATATGCATAAGTGACACACACACACATATACACTGACTTTAAAGAGCATGAATGAATGGTAGCAACCATATTCTGCCATGTCAGCTCATGACCATATGATGGGGAAAAGATCGCTGGTCAAGGGTCACATACGAAAATTGTACATGCATTCACGAGAACATACAAACTTTGGAACATATTCTGTGTGACTGCACATTCACAGCTGGCAAAATTCACTAACTAGGGAGTTTAGATCAGTTTTAGCTTACAAGTGATATATATTAATATATCTCTCCAATGTAATTTTGACTGCTTCATTTGCTGATATAGTGAAAGTGAAGAAATGTTTTCTTTGTTTATTTTGCTTCTGCTCACATTCAGAATAAATAAAATACCTATCTATCCTATGGCATGCCATTTGCTTCAAAAATTTGAAACGAAAAATATATATCTAAAGATAATCATATGTATTTATAAATATTATTATTCATTTTGTATTTATAAGTATTATTATTCATTTGGACGGTATTTATTGCTTGTGAACTGTTGTGTGGACGGGAATTAGTGCTTGTGGACGGTAGTGGTCAGTTGTGCTCAGTTGTAGACGGTAATTGGGTACACCCGAATGATTCCGCATGCTCTGTGTATACACATTTTGCTGACGTCACCAAGAAAGTTTTTATATTTGAAAAAAAAAATATTCGAACAAAATTTATATTCAACATTTTTTTTTATTTGAAAGGTTATATATACATTTGAAAACAAGTATTTATATTCCAAAATCTTCAACTTATTAAATGCATGAAAATATTTTCAAAGTCATATTTTTTGTTTTTTGATGAATATATAAAGCCTTTGTAATGCATGAAATCTTTTTCACATAATTTTTTTTTTTTTTTTGCTTCAAAATGAATAATAATACTAATAAACACAAATGATTATCTTTAGATATATATTTTCTGCTTCAAATTTTTGAAGCAAATGGTATGCCATACTATCCAGTTATGTGATTCATGTATTTTTGTGCTTTTTGTGTGGGACAGAGACAAAATACCAGGGTTATCAATGAATTCAATACTGTACATGGGTACATTTTTATTTTGGATAGCAATATAATTTGATACAATAAATAAATGCAGATATTTTGCACATATTACAGGAATGATTTTCAAAATACAAATAATATAAAGCCTGCATCTTTTTGGCAAATGTACAGCATATTAGAAAACATGTGTTCATTAAATTCATTTGGAATAATATTAATGGTTTTAGTCTTGCATTATGGCATGATAAATGATTTTTGTTGATTTTATTTCATTGTCCCATCAATGGTGACAGCTGATTTTTAATTAAGAAAAAAAAATTCACACATTTTATACTGCATGGTAGCTACTTCAGTATCTGAAACGTAGGCCTACCTAAAAATGATCATCTTAGATTAATAGAGAATATTGTTGAATCAGTAAAGAATTCCCTAACGAAAAAGTCCTATAGGATCCTATAAGATCCTATAGGAAATTGGGCCAATTTCTTATAAAATCCTGTAGGATCTTAAAGGATCCTATAGGACTTTTCCGTAAGGGAAATTAATAAATAAATGATATAAATGACTCTTCCATAGTAAATCAATAAAGAAAACTTATTTAATGGAAAAATAATTCACAGGTGGGCCAACACCACATGCATGGCCTCATACCTAATTGACAAATGGAATTGCAGTTCAAAAGTTATCATTGTCAAATTTACTCATCTCCATCATAAAGATGTTATAATTATTAATCGATTTTAAGTAATTTGAATATTGACAAATAAAAATTTTTACCACGTTTCTAGGCCGACCTCGTTTTTCCTCAATAAAACTGCAGACTTTGTGCATTTAACGGTCTTATATTGCGTGAAACAAAAAGAAAATCGATCTTAATTAAAATTCTCTAAATAGATCACTTTGTTATTAGACAGTGATTAAAAGAGCCAGAGTCGGGAGAACGGCTCGCCCACGGTGGTCTGACCGCGAAGCGTTCGAATCTCTGGAATCTTGTCACAGTGGGGTTAAAAGGGAGCGTCTCGATAGTCCGAAGGTTCATTGGTCCGAAAAGTGGTAACATTTTCATCGATTTTTAATCAAGTGTTCATTGGTCCGAAGGTTCTATAGTGAATATTCGGACCAATGAACCTTCGGACTATTGAACCTTCGGACTATTGCTACGGCCCCGGTTAAAATGGGAAAAAAAACTTTTGAATAGTCTGACCTGTTTATCAGCTTACGGAGTTATACGGTTGCACGATCCTATCAATAAGCTCTATACAACCCGTATGAATACATGTACATATTGATCCGACTCGCAGTGCAGTGTGTGCCGACTGCAGGACTTTACTCCCAATCGGTGTCGCAATGGGCTCAAAATTTGGGAGTTGGAACTTTACTGACACGGAATATATAACTGAGCCGTTGATACCGCTTTGTATTGTAGGTGCAGGGGTTGTTGCAGTGGTTTTGATAAAGTAAGTGAAGTTTTATGTAGGTCTACCATGAACAACTTCTAAAATAATGCTGTGTCATGCTTATACGCTGGTTTGTAATCACCACAGAGGTGAGCAGCAAGGTGAAGCCTTGCTTTAATAACGTACATGTAGTATAATGGCGTCTCTTATTGCGATTTTTAATGTCTGCACCTGGTTCGGAACTAACAAGATGCTGAAACTAGAAATGCACTGAAATGGCAAAAAATCCCATTGCAAGCGTGCAACTAATATTCATTCATAGAAATAATAAAAGTCTAATAAAAATCTTCATCTGCAGGCGGTACACAAGTGGAGGTGTTTGCCGAAGCACGGCAAGACTTGAGGGGAAAACAGTGGTGATCACAGGAGCAAACACAGGGATTGGAAAGGAAACTGCTATAGACTTAGCCAAAAGAGGTATCATACTGCAGTGAGAGTAGTCTGTGACGTTAGTCACTGATCCTACGCCCGCAGCCAGCAAAATTTTGTTTGGACCAGTAGATTTTTCATAATGTGTGAATTTAGTGGTCCGACATGGCCAATGGCTTTTTTTCTATAGATAAGCTTTCATAAGAGCTTCTGATTTTACTATTTTTTATTTATTTATTTATTTATTTATTTATTTATTTATTTTAAATGTAACTGTTAAGTGTTCTAAATTTTAAAAACTTTTGACACAATCAAGGTCCGGTTAATTGTTGGGACTAGTATAGGTTTTAGGAAAGTGATGGTCCGAACAGCCAGTATAAGCAGAATTAAAAGTTTATGACACACTCTGGAACACCTATTTTATCAACTCATTCTTTCGGAGACAATCTGTAAATATTAGGGAAAATGTGATAAGATTAATGGTTGTTTTTATAAGTAATCTGCTGATTTATGTTGAATTATTTAACCCCCCCCCCCCTTTATCGGTAATAGAGTAACAATAACTGATCACAGTTATGTAACAATTTCTTTCCCACCAGGTGCAAGAGTAATCCTTGCTTGTAGGGATATGGAAAAGGGAAGTCAAGCTTTGAAAGAAGTTTGTGATGCATCGGGGAGCCCTCACAATGTAGCTCTGTATCATTTGGACTTGGCAAGCCTGAAATCAGTAAGGAAATGTGCTGATGAAATTTTGAAGAGTAAGTGAATTTATCAGTTAGGGCCACTCTGAGGTCCAATGCATGTTTATTACAAACATCCCTGATAGCATGTCAGTGCTCCAACATGGTACCACATCTATACCCTCTACCAGGGCGAGTGATAGATTTTTTACAGATATTCACAGATATGTCTCTAGCTAGATAGATGTTCATTTAAACTCAACTCACCCTGTTGATTAATCCCATGTGGGAGCAATAATCTCTGCGCGCACGCCAAAGGCTTTGTACTTGCTCTGCATGAGCTGACCTTCACAACGATGTGATAACTGCTTGTTACGCAACCAGTCTAACACCCCATTTCCATAGATTAGATCGACCTACTTTAGATCGACCTAACTCCCTGGGGGTTCACGCTAAGTAGCTGTCAGCCGGGCGGACACGAAAGTTAATTACCCCCTTACATCTTGTAGTAGGCAGGACGGACATTTAAGTCGGATTATCTGAAAGTAATCTAGTGAGACTCCCCGTGGGGATAGATCAATCTAAAATCTATGGGAATAGAGCCTAAGGCTTTTTTATCTGTCACAGTAGAGCAAGTGATTGAAGTCGGAATAATTAACTGTCTTGATTGCTGTCACGCAGACTTAGACTGGACCTGCTAAGTGGCAGTGCCTGAGCAGTTATGCAAACAATTACCAGCCATGTAATCAACCTTGAGATTAATCAACAGGGTGAGTTGAGTTTAAATGAACATCTATCTAGCTAGAGACATATCTGTGAATATCTGTAAAAAATCTATCACTCGCCCTGGTAGAGGGTACCACATCTACTTGAAGTGGGCTGATGTTAATATCAGTTCATATCACAATGAGCACTGTTACTGACTGCCCATAAGTATAAGGATGGTGTAACAGGAATGGAAGTCCTAGGAATGGAAGCCTGGACTCCCATATGATTACTACAGGTAAGGGTTAGTTGGAGTATTGGGGCTAGTATATGAGACGAATGTCACCTGTACAAAGTATAAATGGGAAGTGAACTACGGTTCCTAGCAGACTTCCATTCCTGTTTCAATGGTACGTACTGGTAAATTATGTAGTTGATGCGATATTCCTGGCCAGTAGAAAGAATGTGCATTAGGTTAAAAAGTAGGACTTTTTTGGCCAGGAGAAGGTTTGATCTGAATCCTAATTTGCTATGTAGGATTTATGGAAACACTAACTTTAAGGTTTTGTAGTTAAAAAAAAAAAGGTCCACTTTTTCAGAAAAAGAACCCCCCACCTCTCTCCTCTTTAAAATTGCATGCTACAACTAAGGTTTATAACAAGAGGTATTGCTATAAATTATTTTTTAAATTTTTAGGTGAAGACAAGATCAATATTTTAATCAACAATGCAGGGGTTATGATGTGTCCATACACAAAAACAGAGGATGGTTTTGAAATGCAGTTTGGGACCAACCATTTAGGTAAGTCTGTCTTCCTCATATGGTAAATTACCAAATTTATAAACCATTGGAGTTTGTGTTTCTATTATAAACTTAATGTTAATTACTAGTTTTTATTTCAAAAATATTTTTTAGCATGTTTCTTACAATTTGTACTAGGATATTTCATCTGTATCAACTTTGTGTAGTTCTGTTTGCCTTCTCCTTCATTTCATCTGAATTCTACACCAAACTGGCAATAACATTTAAATGGATATATGTTAGTTAACTGTTTTTTTTCACAAAAATTCACCATTTTTTTGGCATTATTATTACAGTTTTCATTTTTCTCTAGGACACTTTTTGTTCACCCATTTGCTGCTGGATCGTATTAAGACAAGTGCTCCAAGTCGTATTGTAAATGTTTCATCTGTTGCCCATTCATTTGGGAAGATGAATTTTGAAGACCTGATGTCAGAGAAAAAGTACAATTCAATTACAGCCTATGGCCAAAGCAAGCTTGCCAATATTTTATTTACACGTGAATTGGCCAGAAAATTAGAAGGTAATTCGAATGGTTTTTTTCGTAAAATTCTGTTATGACTGCTTGTTAGTAAGACATGTAAGAAGTAATATTATTCTACTTTCACACAAAAAATGATAAATTTTCCTTATTTTTGCACAATTTTGTTATTTCCCCCCATTTGAATCTCTTTTGGTGACTATTGAATAATATATTCTGGTTAAATAAAAAACTGATTGATGATGTGTTTAGTTAAAAAAAAGTTTCCTTTTTATTTTTGAAGGTACGGGGGTAACGGTTTATGCACTACATCCAGGTGCAGTGAAAACGGAGCTTGCCAGACACACAGTTTTTGACAGTCAAATATTCAAGTTTCTTTTCTTTCCTCTGATTTGGTTGCTTTGGAAAAACTCTTGGCAAGGAGCCCAAACTTCAATTTACTGTGCAGTGGCTGAAGAGTTGGAGGGCATTAGCGGAAAATATTATTCGTAAGTGTGACGTTACATGTTCATTTTTTACAATTTATTATAGTATTTTCAGACATTTTATTGCTGGGATGTTAAATATGGTCATGCATGTTGAGGAAGGATTTTTAATTTTTCAAGTTACTTTATTTTTTACTTTAGCTCAATGGGCATTGACAATATCATTTATGGTTGGACCCACATTTGCATGTTCCTTTGTATTGTTCAATTTGGAGATAACGTGGAGTGGTCAAAGAATATAAAGATGACACTTAAATTTACTTCATCATTTCAGGGATTGTGCTGAGAAAAAAACATCACGCCTTGCACAGAATGATGACGATGCCAGAAAGCTGTGGGAAATCAGTGAAAAGTTGGTCGGCATGAAGTCATAGATTTTAGTACAAACACTTTAAAGTGTTGTAAGAATGGTAGTCAAGCATCTTTCACTGAAATGATGCATCATTGTGTTTGAAGCATTCTTCCTTGTAAGTAAGAACCTATCATATTATTATTTACAAGCACAATAAGCATCGTGTTTGAAGCATTCTTCCCTGTAAATAAGAACGTATCATATTACTATTTACAAACACAAATTCAAGACAACTTTATTACAATGATTTCATTTGCACTAATAACATTATGGTCAAGTATTCAGATTATGCACATAGACTTAAAATTAAGTTGATCAAAATTTATCAGCATATGATTTTACACGGTAGGGTTTTTTAGTGATATCAGTTTCAAACTTTTTGATGTTTTTTTGACAGTTTTGTCATTCTTTTGCATTTGACCTACAATCTCAAGTTTAACATGGTATCATTTTATGCACTGTACGTATTCTTTTGATTTATTTATTCTTATACTTAAGTTTTTAGCAAAAATACAGATGTTTATCTCTAAAACACTACCCTCTACCAGGGTGACAGATTGATTTTTCACAGATATTCACAGAAATGTCTCTAGATAAATAGACAGTCATTTTGGTCTGATGTCACCCTGTAATGGAATCTCAAGGCTGATTACATAGCTGGTAATTGTTTGCATAACTGCTCAGGCACTGCCAATTGGCAGGTCCAGTCTAAGTCCGCTTGACAGCATTCAAGACAGTTAATTGCTCTGACTTTAATCATGTGGCTAGTTTCAGCAGACAGCAGAGCCTTACATATCTACGCGAAGTGAAGCTCTTGCAGAGCGAGTACAAAGCCTTCTGCGCGTGGGCAGAGTTAATTGTTTCCTCATGGTCAAACGTAACAGGGTCGCCTCAGCAAAAAATGTCGACAATAATAGCTGCGGCCCTGGTAGATTACCATTGTATCCAGTTTACACTATATGATGTATTAAGTATTGGCTGAAATTGATTAGGATGGAACCAGAGAGGTACCCCAGAGCTTGCTATAATATGTTGCGTACACTAGATGAACATGGAAGGACTAACTGGGTGACTAAAGTGAAACAAATAATTTATATGTATGGTTTTGGTTATGCATGGATAGCACAAGATGTGGGTGAAATAAATACCTTTGTAAGCCAGTTTTTACTAAGGCTGAAGGACTGTGCCAGACAAAATTGGGTTGAAAGCATACAAAATAATCCAAAACTTTGTGAAAACTATGCATTGTTGAAGAGTTTGTTAGAACCTGAAAAATATTTATTTGATGTAAATATTAAGAAATAAAGAGAAGCATTTTCAAGATTCAGGGCTTCAAATCATAGACTTGCAATAGAAACTGGTAGACATGAAAATTTACAAAAAATAGATAGGTTGTGTAAATATTGCTTAGACAAAAATATTTATGAAATTGAAGATGAGAAGCATTTTTTACTAGTTTGTCCACGTTATGAGGAATTGAGAGCTCGGTACATTCCTAATTTGAATACTAACAATACATCTTCAAATTGTTATATTGCTACGATGAAAACAAGAAATCCTGATGCTCTGAACAACCTTGCTAGATTTATTTACCATGGTTTGATTGCTAGAGAAAACTGATGTGAAATGTCGAATTGTAATGTTGTGATGTATTTGCTATGGGCTGGTGGCCTATATCAATTGAATAAAGTTGATGTCTTTTTTAGTTTTTATACTCATTTCGTTTACTTAATTTATCAAGTATCTCTGTGCATTACAACTTCAGTCATATTTAATTACCTTGAATACAGACTAGGCAGAACTTGATCAACATACTAATATTAGTAAGCCTTGGCAAGGCACAGGTTTTGTCTACTATGTGAGGGAGTGTAGCAGAAAATACTTGGAAATAGGGTGAACTTAAAGGTACACTCCATAGGTTTGAAAATCCCCAAAATGCTTATTTTTGCCATCCACAGCTTCTCATAAAACCTTACATACAGCTTAAAAATGATTGGGGCATACCTGATGTTGACATTTCCATTTGAAATAATAAGAAAATGGGCACTCTTATGATGACCAATCATTTGGAGCCAAAATCAACTTTATATATTTTATCAAAGGTTAAATCCAATTGCAGACAGGGGTAAATAATTAATTCATGAGTGCAAGAAAATTGGTACTATCCCGAGAAAATCCATTTTGGCAGGTTAAATCTCATAGTGTGTACCTTTAACTTGTATTCTCTTTAATTCATACCCCATGATGCATTTTGTTTTTGCAAAATAATATAATTTTGATTTTTTCATTAAGAGAAATAAGCATTTAGTTTTTATTATTAAACTTATTTTTGATTTCTCGTCATCATATAGTGTAACAATGAGCATGGCTTTGTGTTTTTTTCTTTTTTTTATTTTTTGTACTGCCCCAATGTTGTTAACCAGTATTGTGGATGTGCAGTTATATCTAATTACCTTTAGATTACATAATGAATAACATGCATACTGTTGGAGCCCAAAATCCACATTAAAAAAGCAGGACTGGAAAAAGGATGAAGCCTTTTTTTTTTTTTTTTGTAAATTCTCTAAAAAACTAGTTTTTGGTCATTATTTTCCCAAAGAATACATGTCAGATAGGCAATGCTCTCAGTCTTAGAGCCTTTTAAAGATGCATATGAAGCCAGCAACGATTCCTTGAAATGCATATGAATCACTTCTAGCAGTTTCTTACACAACTTAAAGAAAGCCTACACTTCAAAGGGTCAATCAAACTAGAGGGTCAGAGGGGCAATACCGCCTCCTGATATTATACCACCAGCTGGAGTCAGCGCATTCATATGGAAAACAAAAAAATAGGACAGCACCTACATTATTGTGCTTGACAAGCTCTACAAAATACAATAAACAAGAACTCAATTTTTCTTTTACAGAAAATTACAATTTACAACAAAATCGTGGGGAAAAGTAAAAGGTCAAATCCAAGGTTGCAGTGTGAATGGGAATAAAGGACTTCCCATCTAAATTTAGTAGTAAATATAAGAGCCTGGAAATTTGCCAGTTGAGGTTCATGGTGAAACGCAGGTCAAAGATTTCAAGGTCAATTTCAATTTCAAGGTCACAGGAAGACTGCCAGTATATGACCTCCTAGTCATGTTCAATAGTAACTAAGGGTATATCTGTGAAGGACGGAATATTTGCAAAGTTCAGTTCATCAGAAATAGTAGGTCAAATGTCAATTTCAAGGTTACAATTAGACTACCAGTATATGACTTCTTAATCAAGTTCAAAGGTAACTATGGGCTTATCTTAGCCAGTTTTGGAGATATAAAGGATGGAAAATTTATAACGTTCAGGTCATGGTGAAAAGTAGGTCAAAGGTCAATTTCAAGGTCACAGTAAGATTGCCAGTATATGACTTCCTATTCAAGTTCAATAGTAACTATGGGCATATCTCTGCCAGTTTTGAAGATATAAGGGATGGAAAATTTGCAAAAGCTCATTTTGTGGTGAAAAGTAGGCTAAAGGTCAAATTCAAGGTCACAGTAAGATTGCCAGTATATGACTTTCTATTCATGTTTAATAGTAACTATGGGCATATCTCTGCCAGTTTTGGAGATATAAGGATCAGAATATTGGCAATGTTCAGTTTCAGGTGAAAAAAAGGTCACAGGTCAATTCCAGTGTCACAGATTGCCAGTATATAACTTCCTATTCAAGTTCAATAGTAACTATGGGTGCTAATATTGGAGTATTTCACATTTTATTTTTGTCACTGTTATGTTGTGATGTTGTACTTTTTGATATAGCGAAACTTGTAAACCATTAGGAAAACAAAAGAACAGATGTCACCCTCAGTGTGGCGCTTGACATGCTCTACAAAATGCAACAAACTATAATATGAGAGCTTACGGTTGTGTAGTTTCTGAAAATTGACAAAAACAACTATTTTTTTTTTTTTTGCAAAAAATTCCTATTTTTAAAACATTTTGGCCTGTTTGACCTTAAAATAAAGGTCAAATCCAAGGGCATATTTCGAATCTTCACACATGACTCTTGGTCAAACTTCTGTAGTAATTTTTTTCCATAATTCCTTTGGTTTGGGAGATATTTAGCATTGAATTTTCAAAAATTTTGACAAGGGTGCATTTCAAAGAGCGTCACACCCAGAAGAATGCACCGACTGAGATAAAAAAAAAAACAGGGGGTTCAAGTTGGGATTATATGTGACCTAAATCCAAGAGATGGGGACATAGGTCCGAGCGGTCTAGGAGGAGAAGCGGTAATGGTGACTTGTTTCCAGCGCCGGATTGTGGAGCCGCAGTAGCCGGGGGGAGCTGTACGAGACAGGCCTGCGCTAAAATCATGAGCATGCCAGCATACACGCTGGTGGTACTAATAACTCACCTGGTTAACCAAAAGGCTAAAACTTCAAATGTCTTCAAATTTCTGGTCACAAATTTGACCTATTTCTCTTTCCCTCTAGTTTTTTTTTAAGTACGACTTATAACTGAAAAATTAATCAAATGATAGTTGGTAAAATCAACCAAGGGTAAAAGCACAGAATATGAGTCAATATCTGTTCAAAAATAAACAAAACAAGCAGGTATCTCTTTAAAGGGATAATAACTCTTCATTTTGGCCAAAAAATGAATTTTCCTGGAGTAAACAACAATTTTCCCATACTTACCAATGGTTAATGAATCCATTTTTTACATTCAAAGTTAGTCCGTTTTTTTTTCTAAAATGTTTGGTTTTTTGTTAAAATCTCTTAAGAGATTTTAACAGAGTATAGCCATCAATGGAGGTCACGTGGTCTAAAGACAAATTCAGATATCAGAATAATAGCTATAACTGGTGTTTTTTGTGGTAAAACATAATATATTATATTTCTATAATTTATTCACAATGTTTTTATTGTGAAATATAGGTTTCATACGAAGAGTTATTGTCCCTTTAAGTTATATACTTGAAACTGTTGGAATTTATGGTTTAGTGGTAATAGTTTGATGTATGTGTTAGGTCTGACACTTTTAAAGAAAACTAGACAGCAAAAAAGCAAAGCTGACAAATACACAGACACCATACAGGAAACAAAGCTGTAAATCTGACAAATGTTCAGACGTGTTGGGGGTGGTCGGCTCATGCCCTAGTTAGATTCCACTTTACCAAAATAACACGATTCAGAGCTGGGCCTCTGAGGACGTGTATTTTGACAGCGCCCCTTGCATAGTTGAGAGCGACTTTTTGAGTGTGTAAGGCTTCTCGCCTTTATTATGAGGAAAGAATCGTCTCTGATAGGAAGGTAGGTGTCTCACCTACATAGTATCAGATTTATAGATACCGGTCTACATAGGGTGCCCTGAAAAGGGCATTTCGTGATTGGCCCGATAGAGGCGTCTCGCCTTTCGAGGGAGGGGGGGGGGGTGGACTGGTTGCAGAAAGCGCTTTTCGGTCAACAATTGACCTTCATCAGCTGCAGAGTCCGAGATAAAAAAAAAAGGAAAATTTAGGGACGTAGGGGCTGGTAAGCAAAGGTGTCTCGCCTTTGTTTAGTAAGTTTTCATCAATGCATGGTGTCTCGCCATTGTGAATGATACGAGCCATCTCGGCTTTTAAGTATCATGCTTTG